TTTGAACCTTCAGCTTGACCTGTTGATGATCCATCAAAATTCCACCATGATAAATCTTTATGTGATTTTGGTTCTTTATCAACTGTTCGAGTTTTTGCTATTCAAGAAATAAATAATAATCTGAAGAGGATGTACTCATAAATATTTTGTTTCTTACCTCGAAGATTTTCTCCAGTACCATCAATCCATATATAAGTAGCCATAACTTTATTGTCTGGTTGAGGTAATTCCAAATATCGACGAAGTATCGCTTTATCCGTAGAACCAACATTAGTTGATTTTGTATTCATGATTATACTAATATTTAATAGTTATACTGATCTGTAAACACATAAAACAAAATTATCTATAAACATTTCAATCTCTCTATCTTAACCTTCTTATCAATCCTATTACTAATGACACCATAAAAATCTTGTTTTTCTGACATGTTTTGATAGTTTTCTTTTTCTCCTGATTTCATCCTATAGCTTCTAGGGATGTCGATGTTCACATATATATATTTTTTTTTTCTTTCTCCTATTCTATTATTAAAAACTTCTTTCAGAATAACTTCATCGATGACAACATAGACGACGAGAAATTTTATTTATATATTGAAATTAATCGAATGAAAAACTTTCTTTTCTCCACTAACATTTTCATAAGGAGTCATGCACTATTCTTGATACTATTAAAAAAGAACGAGGTACATCAATATATCAAGAAACTAATTATCTCGTAGAGGAAGTTTATTGTAGATCATAAATATCATAAATAGAATTTCTTATTAATAACGTATGTTTTTTTTTCTTTCGACGATGACAAATAGACAACATTAAGAAACAATATACTATTGTGCTAAGAATATAAGATTCTTGAGTGTTTTTTATCAGAACGAAAAAAAAACGAGAGAGAGGAAACACAGTTGTTTTGTTTTTCTCGATAGAATAGAACCTCGATGAACACATTTTATTCTAAGCGAGAATGCATATACTCGTAAACAATACTAATGGATACCAACAGATTTTTATCCTGAATATCTCTTTATTGTTCAAGTGCCTATTTAAAAGGAAATTAAAGTATTTAACAAATTATCTTTTTTTTCAAAAAACATTGATTATTATAATACTTTATTTTTCAAAGTTTTCTTACCTATGTATACCTACATTATCGAAGTCATTTCTTTCTTCACACATTGATTCATGAATAATATATATTATTATTGAATTCTACTCAAAAACTAGCATAACATCTAGAATAAATTATCACCTTCGATCCGTATAGTTTTGTTGTATGTTTTTCAGATTATTATTACGTTTTGACTTGAATCTCTTGTGATATGCCGCTAAGTTTTATGCTTCTTTCTTTCTTTTCTTTTCCTGTCAAATGCTTTATATCTAATTCTCTTTGACTAATATGAAGCTTTGATCTTCTTGAATGAGACCGGAAAAAAATATCAATACACTCAGAATATACCGAGCGTTAAAATGTTCGCATAAATTATATTCTTTTTATGAAAAATAAATGACGTATAATAATATAATCATTTTTTTGGTTTTAATATATGTTCAATTAAAATCTATCGTATGCGGTTATTATGGTAATTTGCATAACGATGAGAAGACATATTCAATGTAAGAAACTATTTTATACCAAAAAATGTGTGACATGAATAGCATACAATCAATAGAAGGACTAAAATCAGATTTCATTAGAATAAGAATCAAAGTATATATTCGAATGCAAAACGGATTTATTAGTACATCAATCAATTTAATTCATATATCTGAACGTGATTTTAATTATAACAGAAATAAGAAACAAATGCATATTGATACTAAAGTGCTATATCTACTCGGTTATATACATCCGCCTACAAATTAGAAAAAAAAAAACTATTGATAGCATAATTTTAAATGATAAATTATTCTTTATCAGTAACTGCTTTTCTCGTTGAATAATTTAATGTATCTGAATCTTTTTCACCAAGACATACAGTACGAACTATAATATCAGTGACAGCATATGGATCACAATTCGAAGCTGGTCGACGATCTTCTAAATACCCACATTTTTCTTCACCAACTTGACGAGGAATTCGTACTGATGCACCACGATTAGCTATACCAGCATTGAATTGATTGATCTAAATAGACAAATATAAATACAAGAATATTTGATTACTATATAATCTTACATTTGCTGTTTCATGTCGACCAGTGAGTCGAAGTTCATTATTACGACCATATACACTAATATGTGTTTTATGACGAGCTTTAAGTTGAGTAATAGCTTCGTCAATAGCTCTAAGAGAAATATTTAAATAAATCGACTTGAAACAGACAAAACTTACTCAATACCATTTGGTTCTCGCATAGTTTGTGTTGAGAAATTACAATGACATCCAGCACCATTCCAATCACCTGGAATTGGTTTTGGATTAAAGCTAACCTGAATACCAAATTCTTCAGCAATACGTAATAATAAATAACGTGATAACCAAAGTTGATCAGCAGCATCAATTCCTTCACATGGTCCAACTTGATATTCCCATTGAGCAGGCATTACTTCTGCATTTGTTCCACTTATATTAACTCCAGCATATAGACATGCTTTGTAATGTGCTTCTTCAATATCTCTACCAAGAGCTTGTGATGCACCAACACCACAATAATATGGCCCTTGTGGATGAGGAAATCCACCTTTTGGCCATCCAAATGGCCAACCATCACGATCTAGAAGTGTGTATTCTTGTTCAAGTCCAAACCATGGATGTTGCTCCGTTGCAGCTTTCATAGTTTCTTCACATTTAAATCGTTTGTTTGATGCTATAGAAAGTACATGTAATAACTAAATAAATATATATTTATGTTACAAACCAGTTGGTTCTTTATTATATTTGTATGTCTCACACATAACAAGTTTATTTTTTCCAAGCATAAATGGATCATTATAGATAGCTACTGGTTTGAGATAAATATCTGAATTTGAACCTTCAGCTTGACCTGTTGATGATCCATCAAAATTCCA